AGCCTGCAGTGCTGCATTTAACCACTGCGCCACCTCGGCTCTGTAGTGATGAAGGGACAAGGGAGGTGGTCCAGGATGCCCGGCAACGCCGGGCAGATCAATGGAGAAAACAGCTACACTGTTACAAAAGATAATTGGACTCAGCTGGTTGTAATTAGACTCCTCTCAAGATTGTATTTAAGGAGGGACTCGGGGAGGAGTCTGATTTGCAGGATTCAACTTCATTCATAACGCTGGAGAAGCTGTTATCTGTCTATGTCGAAGTATGAGTTGCTGCCAAGGTTCTTATCTGTTTGTTTTATGCTTGGGCTTTCAGCCACCGAAGTTTATGTTTCCTGTTAATTAAAGTGCTGTGAAATTCCAGTTAAGCTTGTCTCGGCATTCGTTACTGGACGGAGGGGGGGGGTCAGAACAGTTTCACATCTGACCATTTTGTATCTTCTCTCTAGTGGGGTCCCCTGCAAACTCTAGAGACTGCCGTGCTACCCAAATATCGCACCATGAATCCGTGTCCCGTGTACGATGCAAAGGAAAGCACAATTTTCTTGTTCTTCATCTGTGTGGAGGCCAATGTGTCGGAACAGTATCAAATCAGGACAGGAAGAAATGCTGCCAAGCTGGGCTACATCTTCAGCAAAGATGGTGGGCGTACCTGGAGCCCAATGACAGACTTGACGGAAGAGGTGATTGGAGATGATGTGAGCAAATGGGCCACGTTTGCTGTGGGACCGGGCCACGGGGTGCAGCTGAGCTCCGGGCGGCTGGTCGTCCCAGCCTACGCTTACTACATCCACAGCCGTCTGTTTCGACACCCGCTCTACTGTTACACCAAAGCTCACTCCTTCGCCTTCTACAGTGACGACGGCGGGAAGACGTGGCTGAAGGGACACCTTCTCCAAAAGCCACTGAAGACCTCGGAGTGCCAAATGGCCGAGTTGGTTGACCAGAATATTAGCCCGCTGTTATACTGTAACGCCCGCGGCACTGAAGGATACCGAGTCGAAGCCTTCAGCAGAGATGGTGGGATTCTCTTCGAAGTCCCCTTCAAGTCTCAGAAACTGACGGAGATTAATAAGGGTTGTCAAGGTAGCGTGGTGAGTTTTCCTTCACCACAACCGGGGTCTGAGTCTTCCTTGGCCTCTTCAAGGACCCCCGAATCGTGGCTGATCTTCTCTCATCCCACCAACCGAAAGGAGCGTGCGGATCTGGGCATCTACTTGAACCCCAGTCCGCTGGAGGAAAATTCCTGGAAGACCCCTTGGATCTTGAACACAGGACCCAGTGGCTACTCGGATCTGGCTGTTTGCACAGGGGAAGATCCTCTCCTTTTTGGCTGCTTGTTCGAATGTGGAGTATCGGTGTCCTACGAAGAGATTGCCTTTCAGTTATTCAGTGATGCAAAACTCCAGAAAACCCGGAACGCATCCTCCGCAGAAAAGAATTAATTAACTACAAACGGGCCCACATCTCTGGGGCCCATCAGCCCCAGAGAAGGAATAAATCACAGACTTTTTATGCATATTTTTTAAATAGAAGAAATTTTTAACAGAGTTTAAAAAAAAAACATAATAGAAACTAACCAGTGAAAGGAAATTAAATCCAATACAGAAAAAGAGTAAATAGTGGAAAAAAGAAAATATGAAGAAAGAAAAAAGAATTATATAGAAGCAACTTTTGATCTTCTCGACGGTGGTTATAGATGCATGTATATTTTTTTGTCAGGGAATTGTGCAGCCAGTGTCCCAATGAAGTCACAGGTGCTGAGATGAAGTTGTAGTTTTATATACCAGTAAATAATTATATTTCATAACTATATATACAGCAAACTAGATACTCGGGCTAACAGGAGCCTCGTGAGGTAAATCAACCCAGCAGGAAGATCATGAGGTAAATTACAGAGCCGAGGGAAGAAAAAGGCGGGGGGAAATTGAACCTTCCCCTCCACACCCACAGCAACCAATCACAGTGGAGATTGCCTCACGCAGAAGCCAGTCTTTTCCAACCAATCAACCACAACTGTGTGTTCTAGCTCGTTCGTTGTACGACCACCCTGCTCCAGCCGTCAAATTTAAATGTCTTTAAAAATTTTCCCTCTCACAAGAATGGAATGGAATAGAATATAGAATATTGTAGAATAATATAGAATATTATAGAATATGGAATGGAATGGAATAGAAAAGAATAGAATAGAATATAGAATATGGAATATAGAATGGAATAGAAAAGAAAAGAACAGAGAATAGAATATAGACTATAAAATATAGAATATAGAATGGAATGGAATAGAAAAAAACAGAATAGAATAGAATGTAGACTAAAATATAGAATATAGAATGGAATGGAATAGAAAAGAACAGAGAATAGAATAGAATAGAATATGGAATGTGGAATGTGGAATGTGGAATATGGAATATGGAATGGAATAGAAAAGAACAGAGAATAGAATAGAACATAGANATATATATATATATATATATATATATATATATATATATATATGAGAGAGAAAATGCAGAAGAAAAGTTATGAGACATTGAAAAAAAGAAAAGGAGAAAATAATATTTAGAAATAGGAGAATAGTAAAATGATATGATCCAGTAGAAAGAAATATTGTAAACAAGGTATAAATATGTTTTAATTAGAATGTGTGGGGATTATATTAAGCGCCTTAAAGCTGTTCAATAATTATGTTACGTTGATTATATAAAACTTGAAATTTGAAGATTCCTATTGTTAATGGGAAATAGATTGAAAAGAAATGATGAATTGTTTGTTTTTTTAAAAGAGAAAGAAAAATTATATTGTTTGTACATGTTAAAAACTAGAAATTGGAAAATATGAGAAGAAAGGTAATATGGCTAAAATTGGAAATAATGGAAATATAATGTTTTTTGGTGGGAATGTTAAAGGGGGAATTCGGACACGACTCTGTTTGCAAAAGAATTTTTTTATTATGTAACAAAAATAAATAAAAAAACCTCTGGCACGAGATAAACCCTCTCGGGAGTTTTAAATCGTTTCTAAACTCTTATCTGGTCTTCAAAGTAGATTTCGCCAACAATGGAGGCAGGAGAGTTGACTCTTGACATACTGGCCATCAAAAACCTCACCCCTCACAAAGATGACACCTGGGCCATCTTTGAAGTGATCGAAAATGGAGAACTAGGTGAGTCGTGGTTGGCATCGGCTTGAGATATTTTTTCTTTGCTTCACGATTCCTCGCTGTTTTCTTCGCGGGAAAAAGCAAACTAGCAGGAGTCTTAGTGCTATTCCGTGGAAACGCTCGATATAAGGTGATTCCGAAGAAGTTTGTTTTAGAGAGGTGACAGAAAAGGAACTACCTCTTCTCCCCTCTCTTCCCTCTTAATTTATTCTCTCCTCACCCTCTGCTACTTCCCACCTTCCTGTTCTCCCTTCCTTTCCTTCTCTCCCTCTCTTCCATCATTCCTTCCATACACCTCTTTCTTCCTCCCTCCCTTCTCTTCCATTCCTTCTTTCCCTTCCTCTCTCTCTCCGTCCCTTCCTTCTCCCTTCCTTCCCTTCCATTCCTTCTTTCTCTTTCTTTCCTTCCTTCCTCCTTATCTCCCTTTCTTTTCTTCCATTCCTTCTTTCCCTCCCTCCCTCCTTATCTCCCTTCATTCTCTTCCATTCCTTCTTTCTCTTTTCTTCCTTCCTCCTTATCACCCTTCTTTCTCTTCCATTCCTTCTTTCTCTTTCCTTCTTCCTTATCTCTCTTTCTTCTCTTCCATTCCTTCTTTCCCTCCCTCCTTATCTCCCTTCCTTCTCTTCCATTCCTCCTTTCTCTTTCCTTCCTTCCTCCTTATCACCCTTCATTCTCTTCCATTCCTTCTTTCCCTCCCTTCCTCCCTCCCTTCCTCTCTTCCATTCATTCTTTTCCTTCCTTCCTCTCTTCCATTCCTTTTTTCTCTTTCCTTCCCTCCTTCCCTCCCTTCTCTCCCATTTCTTCTTTCCATTCCTCCCTCCCTTCTTTCTCTTCCCTTGCTTCCTTCTCTTCCATTCCTTCTTTCTGTTCCTTTCTTCCTTCCTCCATATCACCCTTCCATCATTCCTTCCATACACCCCTCCCTCCCTTTTCCTTTACTATAAATTGCATTAAGGCAGAGACTTAACAACAGTGAAAACATTCTCTCAAACATGGCACTTTCTGATGGGAGAATTGTGGGTGTGCAGTTATCGTCAGAAGTTGCTGTGTTTAATTCACCAAGTTCCCATTTTGAAGCGGTATTTTTCCTCCTGAAGTAACCTTCTGCGCTTTCCAGGGAATTCAGTCTTTCTCCTAACAACCCTCACCTCCATTTATAATTGTTTGCTAGATGAAACAAAATTCTGAGAATCCAAGTCCAACCTACATTTTCCAGAATGCAATTCCCTTCTAATATTTATTGTTAGATTGGAACAAAGAATTGTGTTGCTGTTTACTAGCAACATACAAAGACCTTGGGAGCAGAATAATGGGATATATAAGTCTGAGAGCGAGAGATCTGGAGTGTTGGAGCTAAAATATTAACAAGGAGCTGAAATATTTGCACATTAAGCAGCAGAGGTAGAAAATGAAATTATCTGGCCTTACAGAGTGGATTTGCAATAGTGGGACCTCTGGTTTACAAAATTTTGCTAGCAATTTCTACAAGATGGATAGTTTGCAAATAATGTGCATGCAGCTGATGAAATGATTTATGTTCAACATCCTGCGTTTCCCCGAAAATAAGACAGGGTCTTATTTTCTTTTGACCCCCAAAATAAGTGCTTGGCCTTATATTCGGGGAGGTCTTATTATTTTTTTTAGGTTCAGGAGACAGAGAGCGTGACCTCATGGCTGCTTTCAGGGATGGCTTATTTTCAAGGGAGGGCTTACTTTAGCGCATGCGCTCAAAAGCCCGATTGGGCTTATTCTCTGGGGAGGTCTTATTTTCAGGAAAACAGGGTAGCAATAGCACTTAGACTGCGAACCAATAGTAGAAATAAAAGCTTCAGAAGATCACGCAGCTCAACTGTGAGCAACGCAATTGTCGGAAGCTCCCCCCCCCATTTTTTTCCTGCCTATTTGCTCAAACCGGCAGAAAACAAATGCTTTAAAAGGTTAGGGTATGCCATGATCGGTTTTGATCTGCCGTGACCAGATCTGGTCTCTGCCGCGTCATGCGCGGGGGGTTAGGTGCATGTAGGAGATGTGTGCACATGTGCGAGGGGCAGGATGTGTGCAGGGAGCCATGTGCAGATGTGCAGGGGTTAAACATGAATATTGGAGTGCATGTCGGGGGGGGGTCACACACACATGCATTGGGGAGTGCGTGGAGTCAAGCATGCATGCGGGGCTGCATCGCATTATGCGTGCATGCGCGCAGGTGCTTTCGGCACAGGACAAAAAAGGTTAGCCATCCTTGGTACAGGGCATGTGGAAACATCCAGAATGACCAACTGACCTCCAGCTCACAACCAACCACAGTTCAATTCTTTCTTCTCTTCTAGAACGTCCCCTGCACTGCACTGAGAACATTCTGGAACAGATCCTTCACTGGAGTTCCTTGGCCAGCCCCAGCAACGCCTCTCTCATAATAAAGAAATTCCCAACCGTGGGACTTACGAGGGAAGGTAAATACCGAAATGCATCCCCTCTCCCAGGTAGTCCTCGATTTACAAACAGCTCATTTCGTGATTGTTCAATGTTATAACAGGGCTGAAAACAGTGACTTATGACCAGGGGCCAGCATTCCTACCAGCATTCCTACCAGCTCGGGGCCTGAAAGATTTTTTGTGCACGCAGGAGTGCATTTGCACTTAAAAGGTCTGCGCACGTGCACACCATTAGAAAAAGGGGGGGAAATTACATTTTTCCAATGAAGATTGTTCTGCGCATGTGCAGAAGAGAAAATCAAGATGGCGGTGCCCAGGATCGAACCGGTATGCTCACATATCCGGCTGAGTTACTACCTATTCGGCCGAACCGGGCCGAACCAGTGGGAACCCACCTCTGCTTATGGCTGTTTTCCATCCTTCTGACTCTTCCTGTCAGGCGTGCCTCCCTCAATAACCAAGAAAGAAAACTCTCAATTCCCTTGTTCATGGAAATTAAAATACTTTGACTGGTTATGAAAAGATAGCAGCGAAAGGAAAGCAAGATCTGAGCCAGAAAGGCACAAATAAGCGCATATTAAATG